CCTCGTGATCCACCCGCCTCGGCCTCCCACAGTGCTGGTATTACAGGCTTGAGCCACCGCGCCTGGCCCTTGTTTTTTCTTTCTACAATGACATATTGTTTTAAAGTACAGGCCTTACACATATTTAAATTTATTTTAAGGACTTTACATTTTTTATGTTAATGTAAAATGTATATTTATTAAAATTTCAATTTCCAATTATTCATTGCTACTGCATAAGTCTACAATTTAAACAGTTATTATTGTACATAGGAACATTCTGTCTTGCTAAACTCATTGATTAGTTTTAGTAGTTTTTACAGTTTATTTTGCATATTCTACAAATATTATTCCAAACATAGTTTATAAGTAAGACATTACATGAGAAATATTAAAAATGGAGAGAAAATTCTCTTTTCTGAAGTAACAAAAAAGAAAAGTTATTTCCTTAGAACTGGATGGATAACCTATTGTCTGAGAGAAACCTTAGAATGACATTTATTGAGGCAGGACAGAAAAAGTGAAGTTCACCTTAGTTTATAGAAAGCAATGAATTTAATTTATAGTGTGTAAGAATTGAAGATATAAAAATTTCACAATAACAGTCTTAGGGTTGAAAAGTTCTAATTTCCTCAATGTCAATTTTTTTCAAACAAAGCTTTAGTTGTAGATATGTATTTACCAATATTTATACATCATTTCTTCTACAGATAGTTTATATTTACCTTAGCTTGATAAATATGTTTAAAGTTAGATATTTCTAGTTGAAATCAAAATAATAACAGAGACTATTTTTCATAACAGTTTCAGTAGAGGATCAAAGAAAATTTTAATTTCACAAATACTTTATGCAATATTTATAGGTATGTTGCCTATAGTCTCACTGTGCCTCTCTCCAGTTCCATGCTTCTTTGATAACCTGATGCTTTTATCAATACTCATTGTTTTATTTATTCATCCATGTATTACTCAAACATTTATATTAGAAAAAAACTTCAAAAATATGTCAAATAAATTGATTAATTAAAAATTTAAAAATTGTATGAGGACAACTGTGCATCCAAAATGGTTGTTTCTACTAACTGCAATAAATATGTCATCGATAAATATCAACGGAATTGACAATTTTTATTAAATACTTTTTTGTTGTTGTGGCCTACCTGAACTTCCTCCAACTGATAAAAGATGACTATAGTGAAATCTTTGTACAGGAATATTTTGGCAATTCTATTGATATAGTCCCCTAATGAATTAGATGGTTATAAATACAACTGTGAGTTTTAACCAAAGTAAAAAATATTCAAGGAGTCAGCAGGATCCCTAATGAGGAAGTGAGCAGACACATAATTCCTAGGCACTATAGAGATTCAGAGAGTAAATCTAAAAACAAAAATTAATATTGATCATGGACTTGAGGGTTGCCTCTTTGGGTGCCCATGTGTCATGTTTCATTGCAGCTGGTCATTGTGATGTATAATAAGTTGAATTTTGACTCCATGTCTTTTACCTGGTTTTAGTGAGATACCAATTATCTTAAAGCTGCTGGAAAGATTGCTTTTTACATATAGACTCATGCTGAGTTCTCAAATCCCAGAGAAGAGTAGAGTACACAGAGGTCTAAACATAGTGACGAGGGCAGTGCTAGTATGCAAGTTGTAGTCTCTCTGAGTTGTGATTAAAGTCTTTGGGATTCTTTACCCTTCCCCCGTCAACCTGAATAACAACAGAGAAAATTGCTTTATTAAAAAATTAAGTTTGTTTGGGAACGGATCACAAATTTGTAATCAGAGAATACGTGTGCCATGGCAGCCCATGGAAGGATATGGGTATACCCAGAAAAGCAAAGAAAAGTTTGGGTTTCAAAGGCAAAATAAGGAAGCTATACAAAGCATAGGTTGTTTTGAAATAATTATTCTTAGCTACAAGGATTAATAACAAGGGTGGCATTGGTCCAAGATTGAATAGAAAGTTGTTGAGCAGATGTCCTCCTAGAAGTGTTCTTTGTTTAAAGTTCAGGTGGTCCCTCTGCAGTGTTGTGGTTTACAGTGAGTCTTTGTAATTGCTTTTATTGTACGCGCATGGAAGTACCTCTTTTCTGGCCCTAATTCCATTTTGCTAGGATTCTGCATAAGTGACTCAATTTTTATTCTGACAACTTTCACACTACTGTGCAACAATTGTAAGGTTTAGTTTTACTGATTTCCTCTTTTCAGTTAGCACTCCCCTCCTCCTGATATGTGCTTTTACTGTGTGTGTGTGTGTGTATGTTTGTGTGTGTGTGTGCACGTGCGTCTGCTTGCACTTTACTTTTCCTTTGGAGCAAGCAATACTCATGCGTCTCAGCTATTTAAAATGGGGTTGATAACAAACCACGACAAGACACATTGGTTTAAAACAAAATCGATTTATGTTTATAAACATGCAGGTCAGCTAGAGCAGCTCTGTTGAGCTCAGAGGAGCTCACTCATGGTTTCTGCAGGTCAACTGGTGCAGGGGTGGGATGGTGTAGGGTGAAGTGAACGGCTTTCTGATCTAGGTTAGGTTCAGCAGGGAGGCTTTGCTTCAAGCATCTGACCTGAAGGTAGGCCTCTTATGTTTCTCATACTCTTTTGGACTAGTCATCAGTGGGAAAGGTTATTATCATAGTAATTACACAAATATAAGACTGCCAGTGAAAACATTCAAGGGTTTTCAAGGCCTACATTCAGAACTAGCACATTGTTATATCTGCCTCTTTGCACTGAGCAACCCAAGGCACCTGGCCAAGTCCAAAGCTACTATTCATGCAGGTACTCTGTGCCTTTGGTTAGACCTTTACGAGAGTTTTATTGTAACGTCCTTCTCAAACCCAACCCCATTAGGTCTCAGTTTTTGCCAACTATAAAGTGAGAGGCTTAAACTAGGTGGGCTGTAATTTGATTGTTGTGATTTTAATTAATCAGATATAAAGAGCATAATTTAGTTATGCTATTTTACTGACCTGCACTAATAACAGAGGCAGTATTTACCAAAGATTAAATTAAGAAGAAAATAAATTACTAAAATATTGTGATCATTAGTTCATTTCAAATGACTTCTGCAATCTTTCTTTGTATTTTTGTTTAATAATTAACAAATAAGAAATGGCATACCTGTGCTGCATCTGCCACGGATGTCTCCATTGTGTGCAGCTGGAACGTATTGTTCATCCAGCTCCTCTGCAACTGCCAAGAATAAAAGGACTTAGAGGGACCAAAACAATTCTCTTTGACTCTAAGTATGGTTTATGCCTTTCATTTTGCCTTCTATCTCCAAACATGAGTATGTTTCACAGTTGGAATATGGTTTTTCTAAGGAAAGAATATGTTGAAACCTCTATCCCATGGCTCCTGCCATCTGTGCTTCATCCTCTACCAAAGCTTTAATGTGAAGCTGCTTTTTTGGTTTTGCCCAGTTAGAAACTCTGGTATTACATTCTAGTATTCATAGGTATTCTTTTATTGTATTTTAAAAAATGTTTTAGTTGTCCATATCTGCAAATGTGAATCAAGAGAACAAAAACCAAAAAAATGTAGCAAGAGTGAGATACAAGTGAAATAATTAGGAGGGAGAGAGCCAGTTTTATTCCTTCATAAGTAAGTAAACCTAGGAAATGTAAGAAACTGATCCACAATTTCCTTATCCCCTCACCAAAAAAATAGATAATATAATACCTAGCTCAGGGAGTAGTTATTCAGAAAAAATTGATATGAAAGATGGAAAGCTCACAGTGGATACTCAGTCATTATTCATTTCCTTTCTTTTGTGAGGGGTCAACACTAACACAACTGGACAATACTTGGCCCCATTTAGCTTTAGCTTCCGACCTAGTGGGTCTCTAGACTAATGACTTAAAGTGACCCAGGCTCAGATGTCTCACCAGGTAGTATATAATCACATGCTAGACTAGGGCTGCTTCTGTTTTCAACCTAAAATGGCTCTTAAAGCTTTATGATTTCTTGGTTTGCCTGACAAGTGCAAGCTCTGGGAATACAGATTACTAAAGCAGAGTAACAAGAGTCATAAAGATAAACTATTTCATCAGCTACAGGACTAATAGCAAGCAAGAGGGAGAAAGAGAGAGAGACCGAGAGAGAGAGGACATAATAATTGAGTGTAACTGAACATTTAGATAGTGGACATTTAGACAGAATACTGAGTTCTCAGATTCTTTATTCATGAATGTATGGATATATTTAATTTCAGTCTTTTCTGTTCTGGATTTTAATCTTTTTATTTCACAAAGTTTGACTAATCTTTGTATATCAGCTATCACTTTCACATGTATAAGACACTTTTCACAAGCTCTGGGAATGAATTTACTTCAGTCTTTCTCTTAATTTATAGTATGTTGAGATAGAGCTTCAATAAAAGTAGCTAAAGTTGTGTTTTAGGTTACTTAGTATTTCACAGCTTTATTTTGATGTCAGATGTGCTATAGCATATATATGATCATGGGCAAATATTTAAGTCAATTAAATATATAATAAATTGCATTATTTACATCTATTTACCATTTTACTCAAAATTTCTGTCTTGTCTGTGGGTCTCCTAAGACAATCTCTGTTAAAGACTTATTTAAAAGTAAACAACTATAATGTTCATAATTATCTTACTAGAGAATAACCTCCTGTGTTCAGACTGATAAATTATTCCCCTACATATATTAAAAATTGAAGCACTTCCTTTTATGATTGAGGAAAGAAATATTCTAAATTGAAGACTACTGGAAAACAGAGAAACTCTTCCATAACTTTGCTATCCTAATGATATTAATTTTCACTCACAGATGAAAGTTGATTTCTAATCCACATGCCTATACATTTGATAGTTGCAGTCATTGTTTCTATACCATTTCTGATTTTGAAATCATATTTCTAATTGTTCTAATTTTGAAGTCATATTACAAGCATCTCTACTGTATCTTGAAAGACTACATAATTATGCATGCTTATGTTATATTTTTTGAAATAGTTTCACAAACTTTTTTTTTTTTTTTTGAGACGGAGTTTCGCTCTTGCTACCCAGGCTGGAGTGCAATGGCGCAATCTCGGCTCACCGCAACCTCCGCCTCCTGGGTTCAGGCAATTCTCCTGCCTCAGCCTCCCGAGTAGCTCGGATTACAAGCACGCACCACCATGTCCAGGTAATTTTTTGTATTTTTAGTAGATTTGACTTTCTAATCTTCATTCCTTCTTTCTTTTTGATTTTTCCTTTCTTCTTTCTTTTTCTCCTTCCTTCCTTTTATTTACAGTTCTAAATCATTTGCAAATGAAATACTTTTACTTTTTTGTTATACTTCTGTAAACTATTCCCATATAAAGAATTCTTGAGAGTGGAATTGCAGCTTCAAAGAGTTTGCTAGGAGAGTAGATCTTAAGGTTTTTTTTTTAAGCCACTGAATAAATAAATGTAACTGTGAGAGATGAGGATGTGCTAACTAGCTTGACTGTGGTAATCATTTCACTATATACATATATATATATGTATATATACAAATACGTATATACACATGTATATGTGTACATATGTATACATGTATATATATAGTGAAATGTATATATATGCACACATGTATGTATGTATTTTAAATAACATAATACACCTTATACACTTTACAGAAATACATTCATTTTGTCTGTTACACCTCAATAAAGCTGGGAAAAAAAGAGTTTGAATGCCCACATGATGCTCTTTTCATTCTGCCGTCTTGTTCTCTCATTTGAAAATAGTGCCTTGAAAATTTTTCAATTTGGCGAGGCCAATAAATATACAAAAATACTCTTGAATTTTATATGTAATGTGTATATCCAACCCACATGTAAATATATGAGAAAGATACAAAAATGCTTGCCTTTGTATCTGAATATTATTTTAATTTTTTAATTATTGTGTTATATTATTTTTAGTATTAATAGCTGGAAAAATATTTAAGCCCAGGAGGCATTTGCAATGATTATATCTTTTATTGTTTGTGAACTGATTAACTGATTTGGAAAAAAAATCTCTTGTCTAAAATTGTGCTTTCAATACTCTACTTACAAAGAATAAATTCTTTTCAAAGATTTTTATTTTTATAAACTAAGTTGTAATGAAATTGACTTTTCTTTGTATATAGTTCTATGGCTTTCAACATATGAATAGATTTAAGTAGCCAAAATCACAATTGAAATATAGAAAAATTTCATCACCTCTGCAAATTCCCTTTTGCAATACCTTTTCATGTACACCTGCCTTCTTATTTATACTTCTGACACTGACGGAGGGTTTCTCTATCACTACAGTTTTGTTATTGCAAAAAAATTATATAAATGAAATTATCCATTATATAATCTTTAAGACTGTTTTTTTTCCTAAACAGTATTTGTTGTATTTTACTCTGTTTCCTTTTTATTTTATTTTAGAGAAGAGTCTTACTCTGTTGCCCAGGCTGAAGTGCAGTAGCACAATCCTAGCTTATTGAAACCTTGAACTCCTAGGTGTAAGCAATTCTCCTGCCTCAGCCTCCTTAGTACAGGACTACAAGTGTGCCCAGGTGAGGCTGGCTTCTTTTACTCTATTATGTTTTTTTCTTAGTTTTATCTGCTCATCATTTGTCTGTTTTCTCCTTCTATTTTCCTTTAGGTTATCTGAACCCCTTTAATATTACATTTAATTTATTAGTACTACATTTGACATGCATTTTAATATAATTTTACAGCATGTCTGTTAGTAATAAATTCTTCATTTTCTTTCGTTTAGCAATGTTTTTATTTCATCTTCATTCTTGATGGATATTTTCACTGGATAAAAAATTCTGGATTGAAAGCTTTTTTATTTAAGTGCTTTAAAAATATTTTTCCACTTCACTCTGGTTTCTACAGTCTCTGATGAGAAATTCTCAGTCATATGAATAGTTGTTTTCCTACAAGCAGGGTTTTTCAACCTTAGCAATACTATTTGGGGCCAGAAATTCTTGTGGGAGGCTTTCTTGTGCATTGCAGGAAAACTTAGAGTCATTCAGTGCTTCTGCCCACTAGATGTCAGTAGCCCCTACCCCCCTCCCCCCGCCATCGCGATAAAAAAAAAGTCTCTAGACTTTGCCAAATGTCTCTGGGTTGCTTAAGAAGACAAAATCACATCCATTGAGAATCACTGCTATAGAGGTAATGTGTCCATTATCTTTGGCTGGTTTAAACATTTTTTTTTCTCTTTAATTTTTAGCAGTTGTGATATGTCTGTAGATAGATTCTTTTGATTTCTCTTGTTTGGGGTTGCTGAGCTTTTAAAAAGTTTTCTTGTTTCCTGCCAAACTTAGAAAGTATTCACACATTATTTAAAAGACAATATTTTTACACATCACATTTTCTTTTCTCAGTATGAGACCTCAATGCCTATTAAAACTTTTGTTACTATCTCACAAGTTCCTGGACCTCTTTTTTCCTCACTTTTTTTTTCTCTCTGTTGTTCAGATTGGATAATTTCTATTCATCCATCTTCAAGCTAATATGTTCTTTGCTGTGAAATCTCCATTCTACCTTTAAGGCCATTCAGTGAGCTTTTACATTTCAGTTATTGTATTTACTGTTCTAAAATTTACATTTAGTTCTTTATACTAAAATTTATTTCTGATATTTTTTAATGTATCCATTCATGTCAAGGGTTTGAAATCCTTAATTTTATTTATTTATTTTGAGACAGAATCTTTTTCTGTCACCCAGGCTGGAGTGCAGTGGTATAGTCTCAGCTCACTGCAACCTCCATCTCTTGGGTTCAAGCAATTCTTCTGCCTCAGCCCCCTGAGTAGCTGGGACTACAGGCACACACCACCAGGTCCAGCTGATTTTTGTATTTTAAGTAGAGATGGGTTTTACCATGTTGACCAGGCTGGTCTTGAACTCCTGAACTCAAGTGATATGCCTCCCTTGGCCTCCCAAAGTACTGGGATTATAGGCATGAGCCAATGCACCTGGCCCATGAAATCCTTAATTCTTAGGGCATTTTTCGAAAGCAACTTTGAAGTATTTTTTTCTGATAATTCTAACATTGATGTCACCTAGGCATTGGTTTCTTTCAATTACTTTTTTCATGTGAGTTGTGATTTTCCTGGCTCTGGGCATATTAAATGATTTTGGCTTGTTTCTTGGAAATTTTAAACATGGTATGAAACTTGCTTTTTTGTGGATTTGTATTTATTTGTTTTTTTTTTTTTAATTTTTCATAAAGATGGAATCTTCCTGTGTTGCCCAGGCTACTCTCAAGCACTTGGGCTCAAGGGATCCTCTTTCCTCAGCCTCCCAAAGTGCTGGTATTGTGTGTATGAGCCACTGTGTCTGGCTTGGTATTTTTGTTTTAGCAGACAATTTGCCCAGTTGTATTCAGATCATACATTTTAACCTGCTTCTTGTGAGTTTTGGTTTCAGTGTGAGTTATGTTTTCAAAGCATTTGTAGTGTAGTGCTGCTCCGATGTGTGCCATGTGTGTACAAGTAAATGACTAGATGGGACTTTGGCATTTATCTATTCTTTAGTGTAGATCTTAATGTCTTTGATATGCTATTTATTTTCAGATCTATGAATGCACAGCTTACTACTTTATGAGGGTGCTTTCCTGAGCTCTTTCCTTTCTGTGATCTCTCCAGCCCTTTCTGGTTCCCTTAGGCTTCTCTTCTCTGTCCTCTGGCCAGAAGGCCAGGTTTTATTTATCTTCCTTTAGCTTCATACTTCCCATGAGTATGCCCTCGTTCAAGACCACACAACAGGAAGACAGAGAATAAAAGCAAACAGAAGTTTGTGTCACCCTCTTGGGACCACAGCTCCTCTAATCAGAGATGTTTTTCTTTTCTCAGAGATTTAGTCCTGCGAGCACCACTGTCACCAGTATTGTTTCAGGATTGCCTGAGGACCAATAGATGAGAAAATAGAGAAAGAAACAAATACACACGGGATTTCCTATCCTCCACCCCTAAGCATTGTATTATGAAACCCATTTCCAGCTCCTAGAGCCAGAATCAGAGGTTCTTTGTGGAGCTCTTTCAATCCACATCACTATACAGTTCCAAGTTTAAGGTTATATTGAATCCAGGCTGGGATTCCAAGCCTGCGGGGATTGGATAGGATACCAAATAAACACACACACCCACCTGCCCCTCCCACTCCACGAGTAAACTCACCTATGATTTAGCAGTACTTCAAATACTCATCTTCTTCCAGAATCTGCCAACTATTGTTTGCTTTTCACAGTTCTCAAATAGCTGTGTCATGCATTCTGTGCACATTTTATAGATGCAATAAGTATGAAAGAAAGAGTGGGATGCATTTACTCCATTTTACTTGAAACAGAAGCATATGTTATCTCAGTAATTTTCATGCAAATAATCTTTCTAAAAAGGATTTTTGGATAGGCTTGCTAACTGAATAGGTACCTCCCAGATAAACTGTCATCTCCTGCCAGAGAGTAAAGCCCTTGGTTTTTTTATTATTGTATTTTATTGTGGTGACTTTAGAATGCCTAGACCTATGCTACCATTTTTTGCAGAGATTTGTAAGATGTAACAAATGAACTTAACGATCTCCTTTATTTACACTACTACCTCATTAACAGCTTGTTCATATTTATCTACAAAAACAATGGCAAACAAATTTCATCTCAAGTTCTTTCAAGGTCATCTAATTTTGGCTACCTAGAATGTGGGTCTGGGAAGAATAGAGTGGATCTATGTTTAGCAGGAAAGTGTATCTGAATTGAATAGTGTGAATACATCTTCCATGCAAAAAGGTGACACGTGTACATTCCATGTATCTGACTTCTTAGAGCCACACGATTTCATAGTAGTCAAAATAAGCTGGTGAACAATAATGAATGAATTATTGGTACTTTGTAATCCCACTTAAGATAAAGTTTTGCTTGGTCAACACAGAGACTGTAACATGACACTGATTAGCAGCAGTTCCTTTGTTCTACAAAAATCTTGATAACTGTCTCTATCCTTCTTAAGGCATTAATCCAAATATAAATCTCACCAGGTTTTTAAATGAAGCCACATTAACATTCGTGTCTAAATTATCACAGTTATTCATTCTAATAACTCACTTTAGGTAGCATTTTTCTTTCTTTCTTTTTTTTTTTAAAATTTTTTATTGGATTTTAGGTTTTGGGGTACATGAGCAGAGCATGCAAGACAGTTGCATAGGAACACACATGCCAGTGTGCTTTTCTTTCCTTCTCCCCTTCACCCACATTTGGCATTTCTCCCCAGGCTATCCCTCCCCACCTCCCCCTCCCACTGGCCCTCCCCTTTTCCCCCCAATAGACCCCAGTGTTTAGTACTCCCCTTTCTGTGTCCATGTGTTCTCATTTTTCATCACCCGCCTATGAGTGAGAATATGCGGTGTTTCATTTTCTGTTCTTGTGTCAGTTTGCTGAGGATGACGTTCTTCAGATTCATCTACGTCCCTACAAACGACACAAACTCATCATTTCTGATTGCTGCATAATATTCCATGGTGTATATGTGCCACATTTTTCCAATCCAGTCTATTATCAATGGGCATTTTGGTTGATTCCAGGTCTTTGCTATTGTAAACAGTGCTGCAATGAACATTCGTGTACATGTGTCCTTATAGTAGAACGATTTATAGTCTTTTGGATATATACCCAGTAATGGGATTGCTGGGTCAAATGGAATTTCTATTTCTAAGGCCTTGAGGAATCGCCACACTGTCTTCCACAATGGCTGAACTAATTTACACTCCCACCAACAGGGTAAAAGTGTTCCTTTTTCTCCACATCCTCTCCAGCATCTGTTGTCTCCATATTTTTTAATGATCGCCATTCTAACTGGCGTGAGATGGTATCTCAATGTGGGTTTGATTTGCATCTCTCTGATGACCAGTGACGATGAGCATTTTTTCATATGATTGTTGGCCTCATATATGTCTTCTTTCGTAAAGTGTCTGTTCATATCCTTTGCCCACTTTTGAATGGGCTTGTTTGTTTTTTTCCTGTAAATCTGTTTGAGTTCTTTGTAAATTCTGGATATCAGCCCTTTGTCAGATGGGTAAACTGCAAAATTTTTTTCCCATTCTGTTGGTTGCCGATCCACTCTAGTGACTGTTTCTTTTGCCGTGCAGAAGCTGTGGAGTTTCATTAGGTCCCATTTGTCTATTTTGGCTTTTGTTGCCAATGCTTTTGGTGTTTTGTTTATGAAGTCCTTGCCTACTCCTATGTCCTGGATGGTTTTGCCTAGATTTCCTTCTAGGGTTTTTATGGTGCCAGGTCTTATGTTTAAGTCTTTAATCCATCTGGAGTTAATTTTAGTGTAAGGTGTCAGGAAGGGGTCCAGTTTCTGCTTTCTGCACATGGCTAGCCAGTTTTCCCAACACCATTTATTAAACAGGGAATACTTTCCCCCTTGCTTGTTTTTGTCAGGTTTATCGAAGATTGTATAGTTGTAGATATGTTGTGTTGCCTCCGGTGCCTCTGTTTTGTTCCATTGGTCTATATGTCTGTTTTGGTACCAGTACCATGTTGTTTTGATTACTGTAGCCTTGTAGTATAGTTTGAAATCCGGTAGTGTGAATCCCCCCGCTGTGTTCTTTTTGCTTAGAATTGACATGGCTATGCGGGCTCTCTTTTGGTTCCATA